AGCGCAAGAGGGCCAAACACCACCTAGATTCGCAGTAACCATTCAAGAGTTGTGGAAGCAATTAGAGGGAAAGGATCAACAGAGCTGTGCCACCATAGGTATTCCTGACAAAGTACTAGCAGATACACTTAGAGAGAATTTCTGCTGGTCCCATTAAAAAGATGCTTCAAAACTGTCTAAGGGCGAATGCAGCTGTGCAATTCAATGCTGTACTGCTGGAATCAGTGGAGCAGGATCTAGAGCAGTAGGAGACCAAAGTCAGGGTGGCGATAGATGGAAGGCTGTTGATGAAAGGGGAAGATTCTGCCTTTTTCCCTATCTCTGCCTTGCATTATAGACTGCCATGAGAGGCCTAAATGAGTCTATTGTGTCCATCTGGCAGGAAGTCTCTGCTGCAAAGAGTTGGGCCAGGCCCTGTCAGTAACCCTCTGCAGCAAGATCCTAATGCAGAACAGAGATATGGTGAAGATCAATAACACAATCATCATTCCCTCCCCTCATGCCAGGGTACTAGGTGTAATCCTAGACTCCCATCTGTCCTTTCACCCCCAAATCCAATTAGTGACCAAATCTTGTAGACTTCACCTCTGCAACATCTCCAAGATACGCTCGTTCTTAACCACGGAAACCACTAAGCAACTTATTCACTCCCTTGTTATATCTCGCCTTGACTATTGCAACTCCCTCCTCATTGGCCTACCTCATCGCAGGCTATCCCCTCTTCAGTCTATCATGCATGCTGCTGCCAGACTTATCCACCTTACTAACCATTTTTTATCTACCACCCCTCTCTGCCAATCCCTCCACTGGCTTCCCATTGCCCAACGGATAAAATTCAAAACATTAACAATAACGTATAAAGCCATTTATAACTCTGCCCCAAATTACATCAACGATCTTGTCTCTAAATATCACCCAAACCGTACTCTCAGCTCCTCACAAGGACCTCCTGCTCTCTAGCTCCCTTGTCTCCTCCTCCCATGCTCATCTCCAGGACTTCTCCAGTGCTTCCCCCATCCTCTGGAACTCTCTACCCCAATTTATCAGACTATCGCCTACTCTGTTCACTTTTAGGTGATCTCTGAAAACCTCTCTTCAAGGAAGCCTATCCTGCCCTCAGCTAATAATGGAATCTTCTACTTTTCCAACCAGTCCATCCCTCACAGTTACTACCTTTTGTACCACTAGCCCTTCATTCCTAGATTGTAAGGTCCAAGGAGCAGGGCCCTCCTTTCCCTCTTGTATTGAACTGTATTTTTGCTGTATTCTCTCCTGTTATATTGTAACGTGTGGCCCAGTGTTTGGTGAACACAGGGTCTGAGGTGACCACTATGGACTATGCCTTCCACCAGCAGAAATTTAATCAAGCCTCAACCTTGGAACCCCACTGGCTGGCCCTGAAGGTCAGCAATAATCTTATTCCAGTGGATGGGGTCATCTGTATTTGATCTGAGAGTTTGATCAGACAGCAGACTGGATTGAGGTGGTGGTAACTCATGTATCAGCCCTGACAGATGTTCCAGTTTTGTTGGATATGAATGCCCTGCAATTGGGATTAGTGAGGTTACCACCCCAGCACCAACTACAGCTATTACTGCGACAAGAGGTAAGATGTCCACTTCCTGTGGGGGCCTGAAAAAACTGCAAGGATCTTCTGTCATGGTGGAACCTCAATGGAATATAGAAGTGAGGAGTGAACAGCTGTTAGCCAGGACTCTGTCCAAGTTGCACATTCAAATGGTCAATCTGGGTACCATTCCTATATACTGTATAGTAGTTGTTGGCTCAAGTGGTCTTTGCTGATGTATATCAAATTCCAAAGAAGTGTATTGAACAATTCAATCCAGGGCAAGAGAGCTGCCTCTGCCTCTTTGACAGCTGCCATGACTGTTTTAGAGGATTCTTAGTACCTGAAGCTGTTGGAACAATTGGCTTTGTCGATGCGTGAGATTTCGTGCCAACAACAATGGCTGTTACATCAGCTACTAGAAAAGCATGCATTGGTATGGCAGGTTGGCCTGAAGATTACAATTGCAACACCATTTTAAAACAACCTATACACACCAGGGACATTGTACTGATCTGAGAGAGATATTGTAACATACCTCCAGTCCTGTGTCAGAAAGTTAAAGATTTACTTCGTAGTATGTTGCAAAATGGAGTTGTTTAGGAAAGCAGAAGTCTGAGAAGCCCTCCATAGTTCTTGTGAGAAAAAAATATGCAAGCCTGAGCCAATGCATAGATTATCACAAGCTGAACGTGTGGACCTATGGGGATGCCAACCAATTGCCATGGGTGGAGGAGTCTAATATCCCTAGGGTAAGCATGCTAATTTTGCCGGTGGACTTAGTTAGGGGCTACTGGCAAGTGTTTGTAATGGAAGAGGACAGGGAGAAAACCGCTTTTATCACTCTTCTGTGACTGTGCAAGTTAAATCAAATGCCCTATTGACCTAACTAACGCTCCCGAAACTTTATAGAGTCTCATGGAACGGTGTTTGGGGGATCTTAACTTCGAGGAGGCTCTCATTTATTTGGATGACATTATCTTTTTTAAAACCTTTGGAGACCATATTAAACATCTTGATCAGGTCTCCACAAGGATGACATAATACAGACTTGAATTAAAACCCATCAAGTTTCATCTTATGGGGAACCAGATACAGTGCCTAGACCATGTTGTGGAAGCTGAAGGAGTATTCCTTGATTTGGCTAAGATTCAGGCAGTATGGGATTGACAGGTCCCAAAGACAGTGACAGAATGGTGCCCTTTCCTGGGGGTCTTACAGTACTACTGGCATTTTATCCCCAAGTTTGCCCAGATTGCCAATCCTCTCACCCAGTTGTTATGTTGACAGTCCACTCAACAAAAATGCAAAACATCTCCCACTATGTATCCCAGTGGCAAGTAGCTCAAGGGGAAGCCTTTATAACACTCAAGGAATGGCTAACCTCTGTTCCCTTCCTGGCATATGCTGATTACATGAAACTTTCTACACTGTTGGCAATTTCTAAGGTCTTGGGGCTGTGCTTGCCCCAAAATAGGATGGGGTTGAGCATGTTATTGCTCATGACAGTTGCAGTTTGTGACTAAGAACATAACCCACACAATTACAGTTTCTTCAAGTTGAAACAGTCTGGGGTCATAACAGAACTTTGTTGAATATCTGATAGGATAGTGGATGGACATTTTTACTGATAACCCCCTGGCTTACCTAGAAATCACTAAACTAGAAAATCTACAATTTCTGGGGAAATTGTGTGAAGTGTTCTTTCTTCCACCAGTAGTCTATAACTGGAGTGGGCGGAGTAGCTTTTGTCACTCTGCTGCCTGCTCACACACCTGGGTTCCTATGGCAACTCACTCTACAGCAAGAGCAGAGAAGAGCGGTTATAAACAAACTGCTCCAAGTTGCTGACTTCACTGGCAGTTGCCATCTTCAAATTGTTGTAGTTTTAAAACTATAAATCCTACACCGAAAAGCTTTATATTGTGAGAATCACAAGACCAAGACCTACATTTTGATACATAGCATGTCTGAAATATTAAAAATTAAGGCACAGTCACAGTTTAAAAATTGCCCTTCAAATTTCAGGTGTCTAGAGTGGATTTTCAATGAATGTCAATGGGCGGCGTGAGTTGCAAACAAATGGTCATTATGAAAATGATCAGGACTATGGCTTAGCTGTGGACATTTTTAGTGGCAGCAGGGATAGCTGAACATTTTGATATAAGATTTGTGTAGGTGGGCTTGAAAATAAGGGAGTGGTGGCAGTTAAGAGATCATGTTCTGATTTTTCAGCTCTCTAGCTTTTGTCAGCTCCCACTCTAGTTTTGAACAATCCATTGCTCTTAGTTAAGTGTTCTTGCATGGCAAGAGCACCTCACATATACATATATTCTTATTATAACCAAATTTACCACCCTAACTCCTCCCACAGTTTTTTACACTACATAGACAAGCAATATACGGAAACGTGTGGATTGTTCCCGATTGGTGTGCTATTACTTTGTGGAACGTTTCGCCGAATGGTTCACGAAATATTGCCTTTTTGTGGTGAACTTTTCCCATAGGAATGAATGGCTGAATGTTCTGCCATTACTGGGTAAGATCAAATGTTGGGGGGGGGTCTCATGAATTCTTGCTTGCTGTACAGGGATGGACTGACAGGTTAGCAACTTTGATGCACTAGAGACAAAGCCATGTCTTCTACATAAAGAATGCTTGTGCATTGCCAAGAAAATAAACTACTAGTGCAAGAGACTGCCAGTATGGTTGAGGAGATTGAGAACGGAATGTTTATACCCAGTGCAATCAGTAGATGGGGGGGGGGGGGGGGAACCCCACACAGGCAGATCCCTGAATAGGACAATGATGCAGGGAGCTGTCACGTTGAGCTATTGTTTTCCCATCAGAATCCACTGATGGGCACTTGCAGCCATTGGCTGCAAGCTTTGATTGGCTTACTATTGAGAAGCCAGTTTTACTGGCTTCCTTTGAACTACAGTGGTACACACTTACTGGGCTTTAGAAATAAGCAGACCATGCTTTTGTGAGTCATATCTGCACATCTACATTAAATGGTAGACACTCATTGAGGAAAAAAGGGAGGACTAACTAATCCTCCGATTGTGATGTTTAAAGATTAGCATCTTGTGTAACAGTGATTGTTGGAAAGGTCTTCAAATATGCCCATGTCTCAGCGCCACCATATCAAGGTTTTAGATCAGAACTGTTCACACCATAGTTGTGCATTGTGAACAGAGTTACAGTATTTAACCATTTTAGGCATTACTTTCTTGGTTCTTCAAGAAAGCCATGCTGCAAATTAAGAACATTCAAAGAAAATTAAGCCACACTGAACTAAAAAGAGTAGGGTTAATTTATTCATTTTTTTAAAAAAGAAATGTCAGTGCATAGTTGTAGCCACATACATACAAATAAAATTATAAATAAAATATTTTCATAAAAAATTTAAAAAGACAAGTACAGATTTTTTTTAAAGTGATTTTCTTTGTGTCAATGTCTTGTTTACCCAGTGGTAGCGGTCAATGCGAAGACCTGAAAATACAACTGACTGCCTGTGGTGCTTGTAATGTTTGTTTTGTGGATGATAGTTTTGTGGAAAATAGGAGGATGTAGATTGCTGATTGTATCCATCATTTTGGTAGTTCTTTCTGCGAGGAAATTGGGACCAAGACTGTGGAGGTTGACTGTAGTCTGTACACTGCACAAGAGAAAGATCCAAGTTAACAAACCCCACAATGTGCAGTCAGCCCCAACACGAACAAGCACTGTGATCTACTGTATACAACCATGTCCAAAATAAAAGTTAACTGAACCAGATTTTCAGTGACCTAAGCAATTTAGTTAACCCAGTAGGTTCCTTATAACCACCCCATTACTTTATTTTCCACTTTAAGCTTAGGATTTGTCTGTTCCTTGAATAAAAAGGCTTCAGAATTTAGAAGTTAAGTAAATGACATAGGAACACTGACCCACTATGGCCCAGTACCATTTAGTTGCACAGTTCTTACTTGTAGAGTTAGAATGCTTTAACCCTAGTACCGCATCTCTTCAGCACCACAGGCATTCCTATAGTTGTTGCATATCATTTAGGGCTACAGATATGCCAAAATTCTATGACCAAACAAGCAAAGGAACATAGGACAGCTAAACATGATTATGTTGCCACATATCATACAGGATTTATATAGCGCCAACAGTTTGCTCAGCGCTTTACAATATAACAGGAGACAATACAGTTCAATACAAGAGGGAAAGGAGGGTCCTGCTCCTTGCAATCTAGGAGGGAGGGGCTAGTCGTACCAAAAAAAAAAAAAAAAAGTAGTAACTGTGGGGGATGGACTGGTTGGAAGAGTAGAAGATTCCATTATTAGCTGAGAGCAGGATAGGCTTCCCTGAAGAGAGGTTTTCAAAGATCGCCTAAAGTGATCAGAGTAGGCAATAGTTTGATAAATTGGGGTAGAGTTTCAGAGTATGGGGAAGCTCTGGAGGAGTCCTGGAGATTAGCATGGGAGGAGGAGACAAGGGAGCTAGAGAGTAGGAGGTCTTGCAAGAAGCGGAGAGTACAGTTCGGGTGATATTTAGAGACAAGATCGGTGATGTAATTTGGGGCAGAGTTATAAATGGCTTTATACGTTGTTCGTTTTGAATTTTATCCGTTGGGCAATGGGAAGCCAGTGGAGGGATTGGCAGAGAAGGGTGGCTGATACAGTAAGGTGGATGAGTCTGGCAGCAGCATTCATGATAGACTGAAGAGGGGATAGCCTGTGATGAGGTAGGCCAATGAGGGAGTTACAATAGTCAAGGCGAGATATAACAAGGGAGTGAATAAGTTGCTCAGTGGTTTCCGAGGTAAGGAACAGGTGTATCTTTGAAAAAATGCAGAGGTGAAGTCTACAAGATTTGGACGGTGATTGGATTGGGGCAGAAAGGACAGATGGGAGTCTCGGATTACTACTAGTACCCTGGCATGAGGGGAGGGACTGATGATTGTGTTTTTGATCTTGATGGTGAAGTCAGAGGGGGCACGGGCTGGGGGGGAATACTAAGCTCAGTTTTGGAAAGATTGAGTTGAGGAAGTGGAGTGACATCCATGCCGATGTCACTTAGTAGGTTAGTAATGCGAGAGGAGACTGAAGGGGTGAGGTGAGAGGTAGAAAGATAGATTTGTGTGTCAACAGCATAGAGATGGTACTTAAAGCCATGGATGTTTCTCAATTAACCAAGGGAGGAGGTGTAGATGGAGAAAAGGGGTCCAAGGACAGAACCTTGAGGGACCCCTACAGAAGGAGGGAGTGAAGAGGAGGCAGCGTTATAGGTAACGCTGATGGAGCGCTGTGATAGGAGGAGAAACAGGAGAGAGCAGAGTGAGGCCAAGAGAGTGGAGTTGAAAAAGGGGAGGATGGTCAACCGTATCAAAAGCCGCAGAGAGGTCAAGTAGTAAGAGTACGGAGTAGTGACCATTGGTTTTAGCAGTTAGTAGATTAGAGTTTTAGTAGGGCAGTTTCAGTGGAGTGTAGTGAGCGAACGCCAGACTGTAAAGGGTCAAGAAGGTTGTTGTCGGTGAGGTGTGAGCTCAGGCGATTGTAGACTAAGTGTTCTAGGAGCTTAGAGGTAAATGGCAGCAGGGAGATAGGTCTTAAGTTGTTCAGGTTGGTGGGGTCCAGGGAGGGCTTTAAGTATGGGAGTGATGTGCGCATGCTTTAGAGGGGAGGGGAAGGCACCAGTAGAGGGAAACATTGAAGATGTGAGGGAGCATAGGATGGAAGAAGAGGGTGACCTTAGTAGTTGTGAGGGGACAGGATCCAGGGGGCAGGTAGTGAGACAGGCTTTTGAGAAAACCTTAGTGACCTCTTTGGTAGTAGCAAGGTCAAAAAGAAGAAAGTGTTGAGGGAGGTTTAGTATAAGGTATGCCAAGTGGGATGGATGTCTGCAGTGGTGATGCCCCTACGAATTGTGTCAATCTCACATGTGAAGATGAGATTTTAAATTCTCTAGAGATACATTACACGTGATAAAATTGGTATAGGTCATCTTCACACTTAAAACGCCTCCCCCACTCCCTGATTTGTATAGAATCTAGCAAACATCTTCAGATACATTGCTCTAAATAGGTTATGGCCTGAACAACCCAGCATGCGTAATACAGCAAATCAAGAAAAGCTGAGTACACATTGGCTGAAAAACAGTTGGTTCAGCAGGAACTGGACAACTTCAGCCCATGTGTACAGCTCCCTGACAGGCTGTCTCATGGCCAGCTTCTGTTAAATTAGCATGATAGAAAGTCATCTGATTTGCATCAGATCAGCACTGGCAGCAAATGGCCAATCAGTGTATTCTTGAAGGGGCAGTCACCCTGTCAGAACAAAAAGCACAGCAGGAGGTCACAGTACTATCACTTGGGCTGAATTAAACAATTTCTAGTGTGTACCCTGCATTAAACTAGGCTGTTCAGCATTTCCAGCTAGTAAGATAAAAACCTTCTGTATACCTGGTAGATGCTGTTGGGATTGCTTACTGTAGGAATAGTCTTTGGCTCTTTAATTGTGGTCTCTTCATCAGAAGAAGATGTACCAGAATGGTAATCTGAAGTGGCTTTTTCAACAGCTGTGCTAATCCATTTAGACACGTTGAAGTCATCCTTTCCCATGAAGCTGGCAATTGTAAAAGGGCTATTTTTCTCTCCATATCTGAAAGGAAAGCTGCATTAATATTGAGAACTTGCATGGTATAAAAAAAAAAAAGTTAACCCACACAGGCAGCAGATACTTAATACTCAAAGACAAGCCTATCTCTGCACACAATCCAACCCCAAAGGGGAAGAAAAAAAATTAAAAAAAAATTATACTATAGGTCAATCAAGAATAAGATGCAGATTTAAAGAAATGACTACACAAAATTGTTCCAAGTATAGAGTTTTGTTCTCAATCACCCTTACAGGTTTGTAAAGTATCTTACCTTCACCTATGTGATCACAAATTAAAGATATATTTCTACATTGAAAATTAGCTTAAGTTCCCCCCTCCAGTTAAATTGAACAAAAAAAACTCATGATCAATGGTTGCACTATACTTGCCTTTGCTTAAGAGCTCTTATGCACTAGGGAACCTGGGTACTACCTGCACACATATTGCCTTCTTGTACATTGCCACTTTGAGGATCCTTTGAAGGACCCTGGTCTGAAAATACATGAGAATATACTTTCCTCTATGTTGATGCAAATGTTTCTCCTTGTGGATTACATGTTCTATAGCAAAAAGTAAACGCTAGACTTCCTCAATCAGCATTAACCATTTTTAATACTTAATCTACCTTTGTTAAAATCAGTGTATAAACAAATTAAAGTAAATGTATTATACATTTCTTCCAACTGCTTCCTGGTTTGTCGGCCAGGCCAAAAATTGTGTCATACATCCCAGGAGTCTTCATAGGCATTTTTCCTCATCTGGAGAGGGGCTCTGTCCAAGCACACCCTCCTGCCCAAGTCAATGACAGAATAATTCCAGAAGTAAACAGTAAACAAATCAACCGCCATTACGCAAGTTGGCTACAGTTAGAAAGGTTAGGGAGATGTTGTCAATGTGTTGGCAAAGTGAAGGGATTTTAAAAAGTTTTATAAGTATACTAAAACAGGTTATGCTTGCCTGCTCTGCAGAGCAACCCTGACCCTTTTTTCTCTGGGCTTACACTGCTTGCTCTGGGGACACTCATGCTGGCTTGCTCCTGTGCCCTTAAGGCACAGAATGGGGCTTGGCCCTACCCCTTTGTCATTGGCTCTGATTAATAGTAGTGAGAACCAATGGTTTTTGTTGCTGTGACTGAGCCTCAGCTCTCACATCACTGGATGGAGATTGGGCTCATATGTCTTAGGAGGCTGCAAGGGAAGTTGCATGCAAAAGATTTACCTTACTGCATAGAATTCAATAAGTTGGAAAACTGCTTTACAACCACTTTAACAAAATAAAGTATCAAGACATGAATAGATGGGAGAATTTGCATTGAATATTAAATAGGTTTCACTTTGTGGTGCTCAGATACAGTTGAGTTCCACCAAAAGCAATGAAACTTTAGTTAAAGTGATCCTTGCACCAAGATTAGTTTTTAACTGAATACTGTAGTTGCTATTCCTTAGTAAACAAGCCTGTTGTGCCCTGCTTAGTTTGGTTGTATAGGTCGGGGTTCTCCAAACATTCTAAACAAAGCCAGTTTACTGTTCTCCAAACCTAGGGGTGGCAGACTGGCCAATGGGAGAAGAAAATATCCTTCCATCAGTGGGAGTAAACTATGCCCCATCATTTGCATCAGTAGGAGGAATAGTCCCATTGTTTGGGTCAGTGGAAGAAAGTGCCCTATCATTTATCATTGTATCAATGGGAGGAATAGTCCCATTGGTGTCACCAAGAGGACTAGTGCCCCACTGTTGGGTAAGTGGCAGGAACACCCTCCAGGCCACAGTTTGGAGACCACCAGTATAGGTAGTTTAAAGCTAGCAAGTGACTTATTTTACTACAAACATTCAGGACCACCACCTACCGGCAGCACACCTCAAACGGGTCTACCCAGATAGTCATTTCCTTTGGCAGTCCAAGATCGTCATAATCTACATTGCTTTCTGCACATGCTTGTGCCAAAACAGAGTCAACAGTCTGACACTTGTTTATTCTTATGCATCTTGGGAGAGAGAAGACGTTATTAAGCAACAGATATTTATATCAAAAACAATCGTTACAAAAGTTTAGTAATAGCAGACTTCTAAATCTTTTCATAAACGCATCTAATCTTTTAAATAAGGGATCCTCCTGCGCTCATGGGAATAATTGACAAAATACAGCTGCTGTCACTTAGCTGATACCAATAAGTGCAAAATAAAATTAAAAATTAGTGAAGCGCTTGTATCACATGAATACAATCATGTATCTCCATATATAGTGTAATTATAAATCAAAGTGACCACTATATATAATAAATGTGTGTTGACTCCCTCTAGTGAAAAGAAAAAATAGTGTCAACCAAAATAGCTAAACAACACACATTAGGAAACTAAATATATAGTGCATAAATCAAATATAATGAACAGAATATATATATACGTGAAAACAGAATATTGGCCACATACAATGGTGTCTAAATTATACATAAATGATATATGCCATAGGTGAACAAGACAATATCAAAGGTGAAAAAAATATTCCATGCATGTGACTGTGCTTTAAGCTGGAACACACACGTGATCTCCACTTCTAAGTGCAAGTACTCTCCTTCAAATGGCAGCAATGCCTGCTCACCTCCCTTCCTCGACCCACACAGGGCCTCAAAGCAGTTACCACCTCAGTGGTGTATTCCTCTGGCAGACTCCTTATTCCTCCTCCTCTCTTTATGCAACTCATAAAAAGACAAGAAAGCCTTCCATAGTGTAGTAAATTTAATAGGCAAAGTTAAAAATTACAAAGTATTCCACTCACATGCTCCTTTCCATAAAAAAGCGTTTTTCCCAGCCTGTGGGTAGATATGCATGCACCTGGGGGAATCCAATATGGCCACTGTGTCCGGACATACGTCACCAGGAAGTAGACAAACCGACGCGTAGCGTCACGTGCGTCGTGACTTCATCAGGGTTCACCCTGTATGTGGCCAATATTCTGTTTTCACGTATATATATATTCTGTTCATTATATTTGATTTATGCACTATATATTTAGTTTCCTAATGTGTGTTATTTAGCTATTTTGGTTGACACTATTTTTTCTTTTCACTAGAGGGAGTCAACACACATTTATTATATATAGTGGTCACTTTGATTTATAATTACACTATATGGAGATACATGATTGTATTCATGTGATACAAGCGCTTCACTAATTTTTAATTTTATTTTGCATCTAATCTTTTGCTTTTATTTTGTATGCCAGCAACACTCAGCACTTTAGTAGTCCTGCAAAAAAAACTACTGGAGACCCATCAACATTCAGATAAAAAAAAAAAAAAAGTGAGAAACCCTCCTGACATTTACTCAAACATTGGAGAGTTGAGGACACAATTGTTGCCTTTTCAACAGAAAAGACCATCTTAGATGCCAGGTCATTACATGCAAGTCATCACAAAGCTAGGTGGGGTCCTAGGACTCCCAACCTATGTAAATACAAGGACTGACTGTTCTTGGCAAAACATTTGGAAATTCTTAACCATAGTTAACGCAGTTCACAGAAGGCCACAACTAGTGTATATTCTGACAGTTTCCACACAAAAAATAAAAAAAACCCTTAGCTTACCGAAAAGCTTGTCCTTTGGTTGGATTTTCTGCATACCAATGAGATTTATATCTTGCAAATAGTATGGTGGTCAGTTTAGCTGCAAATTTCTCAATTTTCTGTTTGCTCAGCTTCCTGTGCTTCTTCACAAGCATTGTGATAAAGACTACTGTGGCCGCAATCTCTTCTTTCATGTTTAGGATAGTCTTATTGTGGCACAGGATGGTGGAAAAAGCTAAGAAAACAAAACCCATGGTGATCATAAAACCATAATTTTAGTAACTAACCCAAGCTGATTCTCCTCTTTAAAGAGACCACCACTTTTGAGGGGAAAAATTACACTTACTTATAACAGTGTCTCTAGGAAATCTTTCCAGGAAAGCACACCTGAGAGATTACTAGCTCCACCTGACAGGAAACCAGCAAGAAAGTTTAAATTCCCCGCACTCAGTTATGCTAGATTATCCCATACCCTAATGCATGGATGGCATTTTGCCCAAAACTGGGGGGAAAAAAAAAAAAAAAAAAACACTATGGGACATAGGCCTTCTGTCCCAGAAGACTTCCTAGAAACACTGAAACACGGTTACAGGTAAGTGACTGGTATTTTTCTCCAGTCATCTTCCAGTGTGGCACACCTGAGATGAGGTTCAGACCAACCTTAGGGCAGGACCACTGCCTGTAATACTTTTCTGCTGAACACCAGGTCCTGAGGTGACAACAGCTCCACTCTAGTGTCTCACAGGTGTCCTGGCTTATCCATGTGGCTGCTTGGCAGATCTTTTCCCATCAATGCTCCAGCCCTCTGCCCAGGAAGTCACCAGCGATCTTGTAGAGTGAGTGTTCAAGTGTAAAGGAACTGAAATGCCTGACTGCTCATAAGCTAAAGTTGCTTGTGTGATCCTTTAGCCACTGTTGACTCTGAAGTCTGTTCTTTCCTTGGACCAAAAAAATCTAAAAGACTTTATTTCCTGAAATCTGACAGCTAAAAAAAAAAAAAAAAAAAAAAAATGAAAATTTACTCAGGTTCTCAGAGTAAAAATTTCTTGTGACCTATGAAACTCTGGCCACCTTTTGAAAAAAGTGGATCATGTCTTAACACAACCCTGTCCAACACTAAACCAGAAGGGCTCCACAATCAACAGTCTATGTAGGTCACCTATCTTCCTACCTGTAGTGATGGCTAAAAGTAAGGCTAACTTAAAGGACAAAAAAAAAAAAAAAAAAAAAAAAAGGATGACTGGTGTGGCCGCCACCTGAACCTTGAGTTTTCAAAGCTATTTCCTTATCCACCCCTATTTGTAGGAAATCCAGGACTTCAGGGTCTGCAGGAAGGGAGACCCCTCTATTGACACCAACTAGAGAAGAAAAAAAACCCACGCTCTTCAAACTTTGGCATATATTTCTAGTGACTGGCATCCTACTAAGAAGAGTTTCAATCACCCTCTTTTTCTAAGGATCTCCTTTTCAAGAGCCAGGTGAAAAAAAGCTCAGATTTGGGTGCAAGACTGGCCCCTGCAAGAGTAGATCCTGCTCGACCGGCGGAATGCTGCAGGGGAGACACTGACCACCTCTGCAGGTTGACATATTAGGGTAGTCTGCCACCATGATCATGCTGCACCCTGAGTGGCATAACTTCTGCCGTACCCACAGGATCAAGGCCAGAGGGGTGAATGCATATGTCAGACTGAATCTTGGGCAAGAGTGTACACACTCAACCCCCGCAGAACAGGGAAAATGCCACACCTTTTTTTCCTCCTGCAAGTAAAAAGGTCCATTTTCAGGTTGCCAAAAACCTGACTCAGCTAGGAAAAACCTTGCATTCAGTTCCCATTCTTCCTGGCAGATGAGCTGCTATGTTGGTAGACCCTCTTTATGTGTACAGGTAACACAGCATACCCTGCACTCTGCCCATCCCTGAACTTCCTGAGAATGAAAGCTTTTGGGACCTGGTGCCCCCCTAATAATTTAGGAATGCCACCTTCCAGCCCCAAATGAAAAAAACCCACGGAATCAAAGACTGAGTGAGAGCAAGGGTGGGGAATTTAAACTGTCTTGTTGATTGTGTTTGTCAGGTGGAGCTAGTCATCTCAGGTGTGCCTTCCTGAAAGACGGCTGAAACACAAACATTTCCCTCTGGGTGATCCATGTACATTTGCAAGAAATTTATTAGCTGTGGTGCAGATGCCTACCTTTTGTTATTCTGAAGAAATAGCTGTTTGTGCCCACATGCAAAGTGAATGGGAGTGACTTTATAAGTCAGCTGCTGCACTGGCTACACACAGTATCGATATACACGGATGAACACACAGCTATGACAGTATACCGGTAATGGCAGATATAGGGTGACTGTGGTAATGTGTCAGGCAATCTGGCACCAGACCCTTGCTGAGAGGTACACCGACATCAGTAGTGACACTAATACAGTGATCACATACATTACTGTACATGGTCACTATTGAGATTGGCTAGGAACAGGTAAACATCAAGAGGCAATCAAGGGGTTAACTGTACCTAAGTGTAATATGTGCAGCTTTTATGAAGATCTGGCTGGTTTCTCTCCCCGGTTTGCATGCCCCAAACCCAGAAGAAGCTGTATCATGTACATGTATGATCCAGCCAAGCTGTGCCACTAACATTAAGTGTGCTGTGGCCAGGCAGCAAGCAATTAAACTCTTGGGAAATCAGTAAGCCAATCACAAGCAGGTTACATTCCTGGGGGCTTTTTATACACCATCTGTGTACAGAACACCTCCAGGTTGCCATATTGCATTTTGTAGAAATGTACAGTACTGCAGCTTGAAAAAAGGAAAGGTAATTTTTAATCACATTCAATTACAAAGTGACTTTTACAGCAGTTATATGCTGTATTTAGTTGCTTCTCCCCTCGCCCACAAAAGTGGAGTTACCGTTTAAATGACCAGGAGTGACGACTTACAGACTGCAATATTTACACTAACACATACATTAGAGTGTTGCAATTGTTACATCAGTAAACTGGTTTCATGAAAGCAGGTTTAGAACCACAGCATACAGGACTACAAGTAATATAGGGCCAGAAAGCAGGAGCCCACAAATACCATAACCCACAGCAACCAAGCACACTGTTGTACAGACTAAAGGAGAGCTCATCCAAATTATGCATACAACACCCTATGGGTGGGTAAAACTAACAGGTGGACAGGAGCAACTCAGAATCTAGGTGTCAATAGGACAAGGGACCCAATGAAGAATTCAACAGAAAGTGTCAACCATGGATACCAGTAGATATCTCCATTAAACAGATTCAATGTTAGAACTCAAGAAGCACACATTACCCCTAACAAGCACACCCACCTACAGGTTATTATTCTTAGCAGTACAGCACTAATATTAGATATATGGTCTTGTCAGCACCAGTCACATCACCACAAACTACATCAGGCCTAAATTTCATTTGACTCTACACACTTTACAGTATATGTGGTTTGGGGCTCACAGCCAGTTCACCACCATTATACTGGAGGAAGCTTATGGTTTTCACAAAGCAAACTTTTTCCAGCAGAAAAAGGCCACTAATTTGAATAGCAAACTAATATCATTCTAGGCCAAACTCTCCATTAACCTAGCAAACCCCACACCCTCTGCTCACCTGATGCCAAGCTTGTACTCTTACAAAACCCCTCTCTGACTGAGGTTTATATAGGCTGGGCCATGGATTCAGCTTCATTCAGGTGTCCTTGATACACTTGACTTTAGTTAATTCATTTCAGCACAATTTCAGGTTAGAGGAAAGCAGCAAACCTTCTGACTGTTGTTTTCTGTATCTGGAATAGATTAACATCATTTTGTATGCACTTCATTTAGATTGTAAGAATGAGTGACACTATTGCAAATTCTTTTCCTTGTTCTTTAAATGAAATATATCTTATATCTATATATTATAGTTATATGTTGGATTTATTAGCCTGCGCATAATCATTTTGATTATCTTTTTCTACTTCTCTGGATTCCGATTACACCTTCTGCTCATAGGGCACTACAGTTATCCACTGCTATAGCTACATACATATAAACCCGTAGGGAAGAGCAAACTTCAATGCAACAGAAATATTCCATTTTGCTCAGGAGAATTTTGCAATAAGTAACTAAGAAATCTGCTATTATTTATTTGTAGGGTGTTTTTTGTGGGGCATATTTGGGGTAGCTCAGTTTTTTTTTTCCACCATTGTTTGTGTGTGTTTTATTTTCCTTTTTTCTCGTGTGATCATTATCTGTGTGCTGTCACTTCAAAATTTTAACATTTTAGGTTTTTGGGGGATTTTTGGCAGGAAAAAAGCAGCTTCAAAAACACGCCTAAGCTGCATTTTTGAGAATGCATTTATACATGTTTAGGTGCGTCAAGCGCTTGGATGTTTATTCATTTAATTGACTAGAATAATAATTTATTCTGGCCACTGAAATGAATGAACACTCAACCGCTAAACACACCTAGCGCTTAGGCGCATTTAGACGTGTTTACAATCGTATAGTCACGTTTAGCTTTTTTTTGTCAAAACACTCTTCTCCTGAACGCACAAGTGGCTTTTTCTGCCTCTAAATGCTCCTGCCTCTAAACACCTGTAAATGCCTATGTGTGCATGGATACATAGGCTAACATGAGGGGCATTTAGAGGCAGAAAATAAAATGTCAAATGTCTGTAAAACAGGCATTTTTGAGCTGCAGTGTGCATGAGGCCTAAAAACCAAAAAAGGTACATCACCTAATGAAAAATGTTATACTGTGGCTGTCATTGGTAAAATCCATAAGGGCTTATTTGCACTTGCTGTCAAGGGGGTGGTTAAAGCACACACGTGTGCTATGGTTTTATCACTTCCCTAAAGCTGCAAAGACAGCCGGGCACAGTTGTTGGGAATTTTTCTTGTTAAAACGGGCACAAAAAGATGATATATCGCATTCTCAGTCATCCATCAAGCATCTCTGAAAACAGATCCACCACAGGTCACTTTTCAGAGGAAAGACAAAGGCTGCTGCATGTGTAAACCAAGCATAATTTTGTCACTAGTGCTGGAAAATGCCCAATTAGGTGCTATGGCAGGACTATAAACCCTATCCCCACAACATAATCCCTGAAATTCATAAAGACTGGTGCAGACAGATTTTGCAAAAGTGAAGTGGTGCAGCATGCGCCAAATTCATATACCGTAGTTTGTC